TACTGCCAGACCATCTTTCAGATGAAATGTAAAATCCAGCTCCTGATCCTTTTCACGAAAGATTCCTGAGCAATTCAGGTGGGTTTTTTTGGCTACCGAAGAGTGATACCCTCATATCCTGGCAACACTCCAACTCAGGTAACTACATTTCCCCAGGTCTTTTAAAAAAAAAATCCCCTGAAGTTTTAATTGAGCTCCACTGTTCTTCTTCACTTCCTGCCCTCAAGTGCTGCACTGTATTGTGTTCTGTTAGACAGCTGTTGAGTTCCACCCCAGAGGTGGCTGCCTTTAAGTGGTGGCGGGATTGATTCCTGTACGCATTGTTTGCAAAGTGCTTTAGGAAACGAGGCGCGGTAGCAATATAAGCCTGAAGCCAACAAACTCGTAGCTGAGAAAGCACACGACCAATTTAACACTGGATACATCTCCTATAAGGGAACAGCAGGTTGGTGAGGGGAGGATGGACTTGATTTAATAGGCCTTTTCTATCACTAAGATTAATTAATGTCTGCAGAGCGTTCTGAAGTGCTATATAAGTGCTAAGCAGCTCAAGATCATAAATCATTCTAATGCACCATTCAATGCAAGTCAACTCTGATTAATTTTAAAGGCATATTTATTGCTTTGTTTGGAGAGAATTTCAGAACCTGTACCTAGCGGAGGGTGAAGTCAGGGCCCTCTCCTTCCCCCAGGCTCGCTTGGATAGTGGACTATGCCAAAACTAAATCCTGGAGAGGCTCTTTAAGGCTATGGGGCCTTGCTATCATGGTTGGCTGGTGGAGTTCCTCTTGGCATTGTCTGGGATTCTCTGTTTGGCGGCTCCTCCTGGTTGCCTTATTTGGTATGTCTTACCTTCATCCCATCCCTGTCTTTTTCCATTTGTTGTCCCTGATTTCTGGGCTTTGTGGCTCCTCCTTTGACTGGGGGGGGGGCGGGCCTTTTGTTCTGGTGGACTCCACCCATCTTCTCCAGAATTCAAATAAGCTGCCTCCACTCCCCTCCCCTCCCCATGGCCTTTCCTTGGTTGTCCCCCTGGCCATTTAATTAATCTTTGTGGTTCCTCCCTTCTCCTGATGGGGAGCTGCTGTTATTGTTCCTGTGGTGGAGTTCTTTCCCAGGGGTCAAATGGCTGGACCTCCTCCCATCCTTGTTCTCCTTGAGTTGCCCCAACTTATCAGTCCACCCCAGTCCCTTTTTGGCTCCTCCCCTTCTCTGAGAGTGGGCAAGGTAAGCGGGAGGAGCCTTTTGGGAGTTTTTCTTGTCAACCTGGGCTGCTAGTGGTGATACAGACAGTACTAAGGCTGGGCCTCTGCTCTCTGGGGTTGCATTTTTGCTTCCAAGCCTTGTCAGCTGAGAAATGGTCCTAAGCTTGACTGGCGAAGAATGCTTACACTCTCATGCATGCAGAGAGCACACAGAGGAGATCAAAGTGGCCTGAGAGGCCAATGCAGAGAATATTACACACAGAAATCTGGGGAGGGGAAGCAGGGTGCGGGAGGTGTTAACTGCTCTCTGCCAGGCACAGAGCTCCCATGCTACTCCAAAGGCAATCAAAGAGACTTGTTGAGAAAACCTGGATTTGTGCTGGAAATGGCCCACCTGATGATCACTTTAGATAAGCTATTACCAGCAGGACAGTGGGGTGGGAGGAGGTATTGTTTCATATTCTCTGTGTGTATATAAAGTCTGCTACAGTTTCCACGGTATGCATCTGATGAAGTGAGCTGTAGCTCACGAAAGCTCATGCTCAAATAAATTGGTTAGTCTCTAAGGTGCCACAAGTACTCCTTTTCTTTTTGCGAATACAGACTAACACGGCTGTTACTCTGAAACCTGTTGAGAACTCAGTTGCTCTGTGGTTCTCCCCCCACCCTCTTCTGGGAGTTGAGGGCTGTCCCCTTTGAAGATCGACATAATTAGGCTCAAAGCGTGCGTGGAGGAGAGGCTGGTGAGAGAAAAGAGGAGATAAAAAGGGGGAAAAACTAAAGCATCACAGAACCGTTTTGCCGGCTGTTTAGGCAGCATCATACCTGGCTGACACAAGCCCTTTAGTTCCTCTCCTTTCTGGCAGGGCCTGGGAGAAGGGTTTAGAATTGATCTAGATTTGTTGTTCTCTTCTTTTTCCTCTTGTATTTTTCAGGAGAAGACAGTTGGTTTCTTTTCTTCTTGGGGAGACTCTGGAATCTCCCCATCTGCTTGGCTCTGTTGCAAAGCTAAGAACTTTTGTGGGAGAAAATACAAAGGAGCAACTGTGTTTTTTATTTTTCCCCCTCCCAGCTCTTTGTATGTGTCATCAAACCGACTCTGTTAATCGGGGAGCGAGGAGGAGAAAAATATCCCCGTCCTTTTTTGTTTCCTCTCCCAGGCTCCTCAGTGCAAGGAGCTTTCCAGAGCTCAGGTCTTTGGCAAGGATCAAAGCCCTTGGAGTGTCAAAAAGTCATGGCACTTGAAACCAAGATCCCTCAGTCTTTTCATCTTCCCTCACTCTTTTTTCTCCTTGCGTCGCTGGCCTCTGGCTGCTGTATTTGGAAAGCATAGAATCATAGAAATGACAGGCTGGAAAGGACCTGAAGAGGTCACCATGTCCAGCCCCCTTTGCTGAGGCAGGACCAAGTCAAACCTAGCTCATCCCTGACAGGTGTTTGTCCAATGTGTTCTTAAAAACCTCCAATGATGGGGATTCCACGACCTCCCTTGGAAGCCTGTTCCAGAGTTTAGTTACCCTTCTAATAATAGTTTATTTTTCCTGATAGCTAACCTAAATCTCCCTTGCTGCAGATTAAACCCGTAACTTCTTGTTTTGCCTTCAGTGGACATGGAGAACAATTGATCACCGTCCTCTTTATAACAGCCCTTTACATATTGGAAGTTATCAGGTCAACTCACCATCTCCTTTTCTCAAGACTAAACATACCCTTTTTTTTTTCTTCTTCTTTTTTTTTTTTTTTAACTTTTCCTCACAGGTCAGGTTTTCTAAACCTTTGCTCATGTTTTGTTGCTCTCCTCCGGACTCTTCAGTTTTTCCACATCTTTCCTAAAGTGTGGTGCCCGGAATTGGACACAGTACTCCAGCCTGACCGACGCTGAGTAGAGTGGGACAATTACCTCCTGTGTCTCACACACAACACTCCTGTTAATACTCCCAGAATGATGTTAGCATCACGTTGTTGATTTATATTCAGTTTGTGATCCTCCATCACCCCAGATCCCTTTTGGCAGTACTGCCCCCTAGTCAGTTATTCCCCATTGTGTAGTTATGCATTTGATTTTTCCTTCCCAAGCGAAGTACTTTGCACCTGTCTTTACTGAATTTCATCTTGTGGAATTCAGACCAATTCTTCCAATTTGTCAAGGTTGTTTTGAATTTTGAGCCTGTCCTCCAAAGTGCTTGTAACTCCTCCTGGCCTGGTGTTATCCACAAATTTTATAAGCGTACTCACCACTCCATTAGCCACGTCATTAATAAAAATACTGAATAGTACTGGACCCAGGACAGAATATGCCCTCCCAGTTGGACAGTAAACCATTAATAACTACTCTTTTGAGTACGGTCTTTCAAGCAGTTTGTGCACTCACCTTATAGTAATTTCATCTAGCTCACATTTCCCTACTTTGCTTATGAGAATGTCATGTGGGATTGTATCAACAGACTTTCTAAAAATCAAGATGTATCACATTTACTGCTTCCGCCCCCATCCATTAGGCCAATAACCCTGTCAAAGAAGGAAATTAGCTTGCATTTGCATGATTTGTTCTTGAGAAATCCATGCTGGCTATGCCTTATAACCCTATTATCCTCCAGGTTCTTACAAATTGATTAATAATTTGTTCCAGTATCTTTCCAAGTATTGAAGTTAGGCTGACTGGTCTACAATTCCCTGGGCCCTCTTTGTTCCCCTTTTTAAAGATAGGTACTGTTTGCCGTTCTCTAGCCCTCTGGGATCTCACGCTCCCCCTATGAGTTCTTGAAAACCATTGCCAATGTGTGGTCCGTTGGACTGGGCCAAAGGAGACCAGAGTTCTATTCAGCGCCAGCTCGGTGGGCAGGCGAGCAGAATGGATGCCCTGAGTGCCGGTGTCCACAGGGTATGTTTTTGTTCTTTGCTTAGCTGCTGGTGCGGGCGGTGTGAAAAAGTTTTCCTCCGCCCAGGCCGGCAGAACAGCTAGGGCCATTCCTGGTTCTATTCTTAACCTGCTGTTTGACGTTGGGCAAGTCACTGCCAGTCCGTGCCTCAGTTTCCCCATCTGTAAAACAGGGGAAATGATACAGGCCTGCCTTTATGAAGTGCTTTCAGATGTGGATGGAAAGTTTCTGTACAAGAACACTGTTATGATCTTATTGCACCTAGATGCATCTACAAAACACTTGTCCACTCCTCAGCTCCAGCCCCGTATTGCTCAGGTGCTGGTAGAGAGCTGGGGCAAAACTTTCAGTGTTCTGCTGGCATTGAGTTGCTTGCACCCAAGAGTCCTCACGGTGCTGTGACTGGGAGAAGCCCAGATCGGATTACTGAAGAACTGCTGCTGGAAGGAGAACTGGAGTATCCCCTGGTAGCATGCAAGCAAAAGTCCTTGTTTTCTTCCTTCCCAGCCCCCTTATTTGAAGTCCAAGGGTTGGTGAACATATCTTAGTGCCCGGGAAGGTGCAGTATTATTGGGAACCTAAGTCCGGGTTTCTATCTCTAGTGGTGACCGATGGTGCGCTTATTCCAATAGCGAGAAAAATCGGTTTAAAAAAATAAGACTTGAGGGGTGGGAATGGGTTTTAAAACACAAGGGTAGACAATGATTGTGAATGTGAGTCAACACGGCTCATCTGTCGGTACTTCATATATCCACAACACCCCAGTCTTGCCTTCTTCAACTGTTGCACCTTCTGTGTGATTTGTGTGACCTCCCTCAAGCCGTCCCGTGTCATGTCAGTGAGGTGGCTTGTGGTCTAAGGCTCCTGCAATTTGCTCCTCTTTATTTCAGTGACCTCTCTTTCCTTGCCCCCGCAGATACCCCAGATAAGCTATGCTTCCACTGCCCCTGACCTGAGCGACAACAGTCGGTACGACTTCTTTTCCCGCGTTGTTCCCTCCGACACCTACCAGGCCCAAGCAATGGTGGACATAGTCAAGGAGCTCAAGTGGAATTACGTCTCCACATTAGCCTCCGAGGGAAGCTACGGCGAGAGTGGGGTGGAGGCCTTCATTCAGAAGTCCAGAGAGGATGGTGAGTGAACTTCCTGCCGATATACAGGCCATGGGGTTGAAATGGGGTCTGCGAGCAAAATACAGCTGGATCTCTTGGGGTGGACTGCATTATGGGTCATGGTGTCGAGAACTGCAGGGAAGTGGGGGGTAGAATGTATCTGGATACAGCTGGGGTTGAGTTAGTCCTTAAGCTTGGATGGCAACGTCTGCAGATTGGAAGCTGAAGGACGTGAGTTCTAGGCCCACCTCTAATCTCTCTCCATCACTGATCTGTCCATACAGCTGAATACATCAGGCAGGTGAGGAATGGCCTCTCTCTGGCTAGCTAGCAAAGACAGAGGTGATAATTGAAGGGGAAGGGCTGGTTTTTATGAAGCTTCTTGTGCGATCATCCTAGGGGCACTTGTCCTCAACTGCAAGTGTAAACTTTGTGAGGTAGCTGTGGCTCGGTCTGCTGTGATAACAGCTGCCCATTGGAGGTGCTGCATTAACCCGCACCCAGGCCCGTGTCGTGTTGCCGGCACGGCAGAATTGGGAAGTGCTTGTTGGCATCTGGGAACAGCGACCACTGCGGCCTGTCGGCAGATTGTTGCAGCTTCCTGAGGCCCATCTGTAGCATTGGGGGTTAGGCTGCTTTTTGAATTGGGGGGGCAGCTTGTGAGGGACTTGTATGGTAGCATAACATAAAGCTCTGTCCACGTGGTTAGGCTCATACAATTCAACCTCAGTCATGATCCACCCTAGGGGGCCTTAGGGTCCAACGCACGACCCAGGTGCAATCGAGAGATGCTAGTGTCTGGCACGGAGCATGTGAAGAGTCAGGCCGAAGGGAACAATCAGCGTGAAACGCGACTAGAACACCGAGTTGAGATGAGGCCTGTGCTGGAGAGAGGAAATGTATGTGGAATGGGACGGATCCTCCTGTCTTTGCTTGCTCAGGGTTGGGCCCACTTGGAGTTTCGCCTGAACAAGGGTCTCTGGATTTATCCCTCTTTCCACCTCTTCCTCTTTCCCTGTGCTAAATCCCCGAATAGCCTAATGCGTGCTAATGCCTCTGTATATTGCTTTCGGCCCATCAACCGTATTATAATTGCTTATTCCTGCAGACCACATGGTGACCAAGTGCTCTACATTGGTACCACCCTGCAGCTAGAATCCCACCATAAATCTCGCCTAAGCACTTTTAATTGCACCACTAAGGGTCACAGCAACGGTATGCGGGGGAACGGCAGTTTGTGAGGCATCCCTGATGGCTGGGACTTGATGTCTAGGCTCTGCCTGGGCGGTCCCTGTGAGACTAAGGGAACTCTAGCGGTCCGGAGAGGAAGAAGCAATGCAGGGTGGGAATGAAGTGATAGACAAGCCCTCTCCCTTACTCCTCTTCTCCCCCTCCTAAGGTGCAGTCTCTGGCACAGGTGAGAGTTGCATTGGGGGCAGACTTAACCTGTCTGCAGCTGCTTAGCCACTGTGAGCTATTGGAATGACTAAGACGAGCCGCCCCCTCCCGCTCCTGCCCTGACACCCCTCCGGCTCCAGGGTGGTTCCTAAGGGGCATGTGCCAGTGGGGATATTCCATATGGGGAGTGTTGCCTGGCTGCCTTGTGGCCCCCTTGCACCTTCACAGCTGACAAACGGACCCAGAGTGTGGGGCTGCATCTCCCCCCACCAGTGGAGCATTGCATCTCTCCTGTTAACTCTGACCTCCCCTTCCAATGGGGTCTCTCCCCAGGCAGCCCCCGGTACCTGGGCGCCCTTCTGTGTCGCTAGCACGGACAAAATAGCCAGCCCATTACAGCGGTGCCCGCCTGCTAAATGAAGTTTGATGTTTCCAACTTCTTTAACTGCGGTGCAAGAAGAGAAGGAAGGCAGGAGAGGGAGAGAAGAAAGAGAGGCGCTGATCTCCAAATTGAAATCTGAATGGAACGGCTGTGGGCTGCTGCTGACGTCCCCCTCTGCAGCCTAATCCTTCTGCAAGATTAAAGATGTCTTTGGCCACATATTGTATTGATTCATTCCCTGAAGCATAAATCATCCCTTTGTAGGCTGGCAACGAGTGGCTACAGCTGGGAGATTTTAAAAAAATGATTCTGGACCAATGATGAACCAGGCACGACATAAATTTCAAAGCCTTGATTAAGACTCTTTGTGTGAGCTGCACTGCCTATTGCTCCTGGAGGCCAGTGAGATGGGGGGCGAGGATGCTGAGGAGAAATGTTAGGGGCTCAGGGAGAAATTGTCTGCAAGGGCAATGCAGTCCTTTGTCGTTTATCCCCATCTGGTACTGTGTGATCCAGGCCAGGACTCAGAGGAGACCTGGCGTTGGAGTCTGGAGTAGCAGAGGCTGCCTCAGTCTGGGAGTTGGCGAGCCAGAGAGAACCACAGGGACTGTCAGTGTCCAGCAGCCTCATTGGACCACGCCTTCACATTCACTACAGCTGAGCCCTCGCTCCCTGCGTGTCCACGGGGCTGCAGACGTGTGACAGTGTCCTGAGATATACAGCCACGACAATGCAGGGATGCAAGGTCATTGCCCCAGCTGTTGCAGTGAGGAATTTCCCCCCCCTTCCCTCTTACACTGAAACAAGCTTCCTGTGGCCCAGGCTGATCAGGATGCTAGGCCCCCATCTTGAACTCGCCGTGACAACACAAGCACATTCCCCTCTCCCCCTCCTTGTGGCATTGACAGAATGATGCCACCTCTGTTCTGGTATTACCGGCTCCCCCTTTCAAGAGAGGAGCCCCCATGGCTGAAATTGAAACAAAACAAGGGTAGAGAGCATGTGCCAGTGGTTAATTACTCTCACAGTTAAGTGTATGTCTTGTTTCCAGTCTGATTGCTGGTGCTGAGTTGCCAACAGAGATGCCCCAGCTGTTCTCAAGTTGGTGATGGCATGCACACAACACAACACATTTTATCTCAAGACACAGGACCAAATTATTTGCTGACTTTTCCCCCGTTAGTTGGGTTGTACAAGATGTAAATCAAGACAGAATATGCTCTACAGAGTCAGTGACTCCTGTTATGATTAAGGTTTGTACTTGGGTAGCACCTAGGAGCCTCAGTCATGGAGCAGAACCCCATTGTGCCGGGTGTGGTACAATCACAGAATGAAAGACAGTCCCTGCCCCAAAGAGCTTATGTCGCTCCCAGGGGGTAGCACGGTCCATCCTTTGGGCACCAGCAAGAGATCTAGATTCTGTTCTCCATCACTGGCGACTTTAGAATCAAGACTGGATGTTTTTCTAAAAGATCTGCTGTTGGAATTCTTTTTGGGGCAGCTCTATGGCCTTCGCTGTTCAGGAGATCACACTGGACGGTCCCTTCTGGTCTAGGAATCTGAGTTAGTCCACAGCAGTTTCTGGACCGTAGTGTCTGCTGCCTGCCATTCTTTCTGTGTAAGTGGCTAGGAAACTCATTCGCTGTGTGTAAGGAGACTTCGAATAAGTTGGGGCTTTGCTGTGGCCCAGCCAGTGAGCCTATTCCAACTCTCCCAGCCTTTCCAGATCAGTCAGCGAGCGGGGCACTTTCCAGAAGAGAAGACGTCAGACAAACACTACCAGGCTTTAACGGAAAATAAAGTTTGGCACTGTTGCTTGGTTCTCCCAGTTGAGTGGAATTATCCCTGCGGGTAGGTGCTTTAACTTGTCTCTAGACTTTGGACAGCCTGAAAGTCTGTGCTCAGCAAAACTCTTTGCAAGGATTTGACAGGAATCGGAAAGCATTCGGCTGACGGGTGCCACTGGATGCTTAGAAAGGATTATCGCCAGTGAGAGTAGGGGGGAGAGCGCTGGCTGCATTCTGGGAGCTTGCAGCTGCTGTGGCTCCAGCCTCCCTCAAGCGGGGCTGCTGTGGAGAATAACACAGGAGTCCTGGATGTGGAGGGGGAGCTTTGAGTCACACCAGTGCTAGCCTCCCCCACCAGGAGCCTCTGAAAGGAGTGGGACAGGAGCCCTCCCACTCCTTCAGGGGTGGGGTGGAAATGAGGTCTTAGAGCCTCCTTTTGGGAGAGGCTATAGGGAAATTTGCAGGAGCAGTCAGAGGGGCTGGGGAAGGGGAGAACAGACAGCTACTCCAGTCCCAGCCTCTGTCAGTAGGAGGCGCTGTTAAGAGCTGATATGGCACCTTATCCACTAACTAACTATTGACATACATGCAAATACCGAGCCCTCCTGTAAGTTGCAAGTTCACTGGCTGGAAGCCATCTCACAGCTACTCCACACCCAGCCCCTCCCAACAGAAGGCCCCATAGGAAACGGTGGGAGGAGCTGCCCAGGCATGGGGAGTTCCAGCCTCTCCCAACAGGAGGCACAGCAATGCTGCCTGAGGGGTGCTCGCTAGGTGCTAACCTCTCTTAGCAGGAGTATGCTACAGAAAATGATGTAGAACTGGCTGTGGGGAGAGCTCGGCCTATCCCTATTCTACGTTTCTTTGGCTATCTGCTGCATAATAATCCATGGAGAGATGAGAACTAAAGAGTGTTTTCAGAGGCAGTTAGAGTCCTGCCGTGCACCGATGGCTGCCTATTGCTAATTTAACTGTATCTGAATGGCACATTACATTCTGGCAAGATCTGTGGGACACCAGTCCATCTAATGCAAGTCAAACTGTGTTACGACCTTATAAATGGATAAGGGGAATAAAAACTTCTAGGTGACAAGCTTCTAATCAAAGCCCTATAAATAGGAACTGCATTAATCCAGTGGCTCTGAGAACCAGCTGCGCTTTTAATATGCAGAAGCGTCCATCTAGGGATTCAACTGGGAATCGCTGCTCTTTAGGATTTTAACTTGAAAAGCAGAATGTTTTGGCAGGTCTGCAGTCGTACATGAGTGCGTGTGTGCTTCAGAGCAGGCAGGTGTGGCTGTTCCTGGATGCACAAGTACTTGTGATCGTGTGGATGTATGGGGGAACGTACTTGGTGTGTATACACCTGCACCTGTACATATGTGAGCGGGTCTATGTGTGTTACTCAGGGCAAAGGTGTCCACATCTAGCACTGTGTGTACATGTTGATTGTC